TTTGACAAGGTAGGCTGTAGCTTTATTGAAATTTCCCCCTCCTCCAAAACCAAAATCAATTTACAAAATAACTTAAATGTAAAAAATAAACCAATAATGTTGTAATATGACATTTCCATCACATTATAGTACCACCTTCAGTCAAAAGCCATCTGAATAACGCCTTCCAAAGGTTTCGATTCTAAATGCCTTCTCTCAGACATCTTCCATCTTATATACACCTCTCAAGGGTGATTAAATGGCTCTGGCACAGTTTTACAGCAAACAGTACAGCAAGTACACAAACTACTTGGATTTTTATAGTCCCAGTAGCTAAATCTGAAAGAGATGAATCAAATCTTACCAAAGCGTTTCATAACGGTTTAAAAGCTTGCACACTTTTACCACATGGCTTGAGTACATTAGCAACATGAGGTGTGCTCTAAAAAAAACATCAATGCGCAGAAGCCGGAAAACAGGAACTGCAGTCCAGTTACCCACCCAAAAACATCTTATGATTTCAAACTAAAAATTGAGCCCAGAATGAATATTTAAGAGCAGTGACAAAACATGCTGCTTTGAGCCCATATTTCAACACGTTTATGACGATAGTTGATGGAGATAGAGAGAGATGTACATTCAGCATCTGAGATTTATAAAATTTGATCAATTTTGGGGAAGATGAAAACGACTGACTTGCAATTGAGGAAGAGCAGGGAGTTACATGTGCCCTACTCCAGCTAGAAGTGCTTTATTTAAGATATAGGGATTGTGGGGGGGTGGAGAGAGGGGGTGTTTCTAGATCTCAGGCTCTAGATCAAATCAGCCACATTCATCGGCATCTCTTCTACGGTGGTGTTGTAGAAGGTCTCAATGTCCCTCAGAGTGCGCTTGTCATCTTCGGTCACCATGTTGATGGCCACACCCTTCCTGCCAAAACGGCCTCCTCGACCAATCCTGCAATGAGCACAGACCATCCGTGTGTTTAGATGTAAATAATGAAGTCGCATTGAAAATGACAGTTTAGCTAAAGTCAAACACAAACCTATGAATGTAATTCTCACGGTTCGTTGGCAAGTCATAGTTGATCACCAAAGACACCTGCTGGACATCAATACCTCTGGCCTGGAAAAAAAGGGCATGAAATGCTTAAGTATTCATAGCGGAAAACTTTCTTAGGGCTGTCAAATTTAGGGCAAAAGCATAAATGCTGGCCATGGCTGTCAACATTTTAAAAATTTATTTATTTAAACCCAGCGAAGAAAGATTATATCTTTATACAACATAAAAGTTTGTGTAGCTAAAGCTTTGGAGAATGACTAAAGGACCAATCCATGACAGGACACAGTATTTTTATATATTAGAAACAATAATTACTCCAAAGCAGTAGAGGGTGCTGTAGAGTCCAAGAAGTCTGGTGACCGCATCTGGAATTCATCGGAAATGTACAGAACAAATGTAGCAGATCAGTGAGATGCTCACCAGCAGATCTGTGGTAATAAGGACACGGCTAGAACCAGAGCGAAACTCCCTCATGATCAGGTCACGGTCCTTTTGGTCCATGTCTCCATGCTGATAAAGATGACACACAACACATGATCACCACACACCAAAATACATGCATCCTTCATTTTTGATCATGTATTCATGATGCTTAAAGTGAGAAAATTTCAACAGACAAAAAAATCTGTAGAGTCAATAATGCAAGAAACTAAATCTTTCCTACTAAACTAAGGTTATTTCTAAATAAAGTTGGCATTTCTGTGTGGAGTTTGCATGTTCTCCCCATGTTGGTGTGGGTTTCTTCCAGGTTCTCCAATTTGCCCCACAAGTCCAAAAACATGCATGCACTATAGATGAATTGGGTAAGCTAAATTGGCCTTAGTGTACGTGCGTGAAATGGTGTGAACTGGGAATGGGTATTTCCCAGTGTTGGGTCGCAGCTGGAAGGGCATTCGCTGTCTAAAACCATTCGCTGGATAAGTTGGCAGTTCACTGCGCTGTGGCGACCCCTGATGAATAAACGGACTAAGCCGAAAAGAAAATGAATGAGTCTTAAAAATTTTGTAAATTAAACAAAGCCTTTTTTTTATTATCAAATTTTTATTGAACAGTTGAAAATATTCTTGCATACATAGTTACAGACAAAAATACCAACCACCTGCATTTTCTATTGTTACCCCACCCCACCCATCCCTGGCAAAAATAATATTTAACAAAAAAAAATCTGAATAAACAATGCTTTAACAAATATAAATATGTTGAACAATGTTCTGACTATGTGGACTATTTGAATGTGATAAGTTTACCCAAAAATGAAAATGACCTCATCATTCATTTTCCTTATGTGGTTTTAAACCTTTGAGTGTCTTTCTTCTGTTGACTGATCGATGAGACCCATCTACTTCCCTAGTAGTTTTGTCTACTAATTGAAGTCAATGAGTCCCAGCAATTTTTTTTCTAGAACAGCCAGAAAAATGTTATTAAAGTCAGCTTGATATCAAAATGTTGTGTTTATTTTGTTAACTCGTTGTTATTCTTAAGGTAAATTTTTAATCCACTGAAAAATGTGTTTGTTTTGGCAAATCTGACCATTTGCTTTCATGTTTGGAGGGGCGGTACCTCTGTTGTCATAAACCTGAGTGTTTCCATAGCCACAGCATATTAACAGCCTGTTTTACCATTAAGCTAGAGCCATAGAGAGAGAGAGAGAAAGAGAGTTGTGACAACTCCATTGACTCCAATGGAACGTTTTTTTCAACAGCAAAGGTGATTCATGAAGCCTCTCACTAGTTCCCAGACGTTATTGCTTACAGCCGAGTTACTGCTGAAGATTGCTGGTTATGTACTTTTGAATATCACAAAGTTTCTTAAAACCAGATTGTGTATTTAAAAAAACAAAACAAAAAAAATTAAAATGCTTTTTGAATTTTATAAAACTACAAAATAAGAAAATATATATAAAAAAATTAAAATACAATAATACTTACAAAATACAATCAATAAAAACACTAACCTATGATAGAACAACAGAACACAGGGACAAATGCACATGAAAGCAAACCATAGTTTAGCTTTTCAGGTAATGCATAAATAAAAGTAATTATAAAGTAACATTGTCCTTATATTACCAAAAAATGCATGATCCTGACTTTAGTTTTATTGTCAAATAATAGTTTGTGCACATTATTAAAAACATTATAGGTTATGAATAGTGCCTATCAATTACACTTAATCTTTAATGACTATGTTATTGACTGGGGTCATTGGTTATGCTCACATTTCTTGCAATGCATTAAGGTATTCTAATATCTGTCCCTGTGTTTTATCAAATATCTCTAATTCATTATTATTTATACATCTCAACCTCTCCAAAGCAAGCATGTTTATGAGATCTCTACTCCACAAAGATTGTGTATTTTAACATTATTTTAATTAACGCTAAAGCACTTTCTCAAACTATTTGAGCCTATATGAATCATTTTGTCTTTGTCTTTCTCTCTATTAAGCATTTTATTTACATTTACATTTAGTCATTTAGCAGACGCTTTTATCCAAAGCGACTTACAAATGAGGATTTTATCATGGAATATGTAAAAAAAGAAAGCCCCACAACCTACTCCATATTCTGTTTAAGTTGGAAGTACATCAACATACTGGAAAAAAAATAAATAAAAATAAGTCTCAGCAACTTCTGTTTCATGCGGATTTTAAAAACGTTTCACAGCTCAATGTCCAGTCTTCTACCAGGACAATAAGCTGTACGTAATTGGCATTCACAGGGTCAGTCTTCTCAGATCCAACTACTGCAATACTCTATCAATTGAATTAAGGGTTATCTATTGCAGAAAATGTAGTGTAAATTACAACGTCAGTTTTTGTTCCTAATATTGCATCGTGTCGCCCTAGGTGGGGTTTCTGCATGAAAGTGCCCTCTGATATTAGTGCCTGCCCTGCATTATGATTACTCTACATTAAACATCAGCATTCACTTATACAACATCAATCAATATAGATATTGTAATGTAATGTGTATTTTATGTAGTAGATTATTGTGTATGACTTAACATTCAAAGCACTTTTACAATCATGTGAGGGGTCTCAAATATTTGGACCATTGACTCAATAGGCAAACAAAATTGGTAAAATCCAAGTGAAATAAAACAAATATCACCACATATAAAGGTTTTGTTATTCATCAGGAGGTAACAGCTTGCATATCCATGTTTAAACACACTGCTTGTACACAAAAAAACTACATAAACGCATGACAGATGGCATGTACTTACCAGAGCTGAGACAGTGAAGTCCCTGGCATGCATCTTTTCTGTGAGCCAGTCTACTTTCCGGCGCGTGTTGATGAAGATCACAGCCTGAGTGATGGTCAGAGTCTCGTAGAGATCACACAGAGTGTCCAGCTTCCATTCCTGGGGGAAATAAAGAATAATAATAACATTTAAAACTCAAAATGCAATGAGTTATTAAAAGCTACTGCTCAAAATCCATAAATCATAGCCTTCACACAAATGATTCATTAATTTCTGTTGTTTTTCATAAGAGCAGTCCCAAATAAGCTGCCAGCACTGTACCTCCTTTTCAACGTTGATGTAGAACTGACGGATACCCTCAAGGGTGAGCTCTTCTTTCTTCACCAGGATGCGCACTGGTTCACGCATAAACTTAGTTGTGACATCCAACACCTCTGCAGGCATGGTAGCTGACAGCAGCACCACCTAGAGGAAAGAAGGTAGAAGTACATCCTCTTCACATTTAAAAAGAAACAATTGACCTCTTTTACAAAGCTGGCTCTCCTATTGTTACAAGTTAAATGGAAAAATAGTGGAAAGCAGAGTTGCTAGAACAAAGCAGCAACAAAATACATTTGAATGGTTTCTCAACACTTTGCCATACGTTTACATGACAAACATTTGTATTTTTAAATAAAATTGCTTTTATATGACCTTAATGTACTTATTTATTTGCTTTTTAATGCCAAGGCATCACAAAGGCTATTTTCATGGTGCACTTTATAGAAAATAAAATACAAATACATTAAAGAGTTGATCCTCCTTTTACACAACCCATACCACAAAACCGCCCTTGCTCTTACATGTAAATCTGTGCTTTCATTTTATTTAGGCATGAAAACACTTTGAAATAAATATCAAAACAACGGGATTCCCTTCCTTTCCATTACAGGCGCCGTTGCCCCTCCTATGCAATCCTCAAAACAGTCAGTTCATGTGCATGACTGCCACATGCACTCTATATTGATAAATAGACGCTGTTTTCCAAACAATTTCTATAAACACGATTTGAAGCAGACCGAAAGTGGACACTCTGGGTTTTGGGTGCATGTTTAAACAGACATATAGACATAATACTACTACTTCTACTTCTACTACTAATAATAATACTATCTTAATATGTCGATCCTGGTGGTTTTTTCTTTTTAACACAACATATTTTGTCTTAAATGAGCATAAAAAGTTAGGAAAGCAATCAAATGCTTTCATTATAGATCGGTGGATATTTTAAGCCACACCTGTTATTGATGATTATCATTACACTAAAAATCTAAATGAGATTCATTTGCTGCTCTTTAAGCCTGGTTTATACTTCTGCGTCAAGTGACCGGCGTAACCAACGGCGCATGCAACAAGCTGTGCATTTATACCTCTGCGCGCTGTCTCTGTTGGTCTGCATTAACACTTCCGAAACGCTAGGTGGCAGTGAGGTGTTATTGTGTCTCTTAAGGTTAATGGGTCACTTGACGCAGAAGTATAAATCAGCCTTTAATCAGAATCCCTAATTTATTTGATATGATCCCTTAATTTCACATCCCAATGTTGACAGGTATGAGGTAAACATTAGGCACACATTCTAAAATATATCAGATAAATTGGCTACACTCAATAAAAGCATATTCTCATATACACCACATGAAAAAATACTATAGTAAGTCATGGTAAATCCTGTAGTGTTTTTTTTTACAATATTATACTTAAGTATGTTATACTGCTTGTATTATAGCATTAACAGTTTGTAAATACTATAAAAATTAATGCTAAAATAAAAATATGCTAAAAATTACAGCATACTGTAGTGAACTAAAAAACCATAACGCATACTGTAGTAAATACTATTTTTACAACAATAAAGTGTGGTGTACTGTAGTATATTATTAACAGTATAGCTGTAGAAAACTAAAATACTGTATTAGGTCATTTGTTTATATTACTAAAGTTGTTAGTAGATAGTATGGTACTAAAGTAGTGTCACAGCAGCTATAGAAATATCACAACAGATTATATCAAATATTTTACTAAAGCACATTTCAAAAACACCATAGTAATTACTACAAGTTACTATACTATAAATAACAATAATATATTTATCCTTACTTGTATGCTAGTACTGAGTTTCTGAAAAATCTCATAGATCTGGTCCTTAAAACCACGACTCAGCATCTCATCTGCTTCATCCAGCACAAACATTTTAATGTACTTAGAAGCTGAAAGAGAGGGCAAACCCAAAAACAAAGCGTTAATGACATGACACAGCAATAACATGAAGTAAAGTTTGAAAAAAAGACTTGTAGTTCTCATACATCACTCCTTACTCACAGAGGAACTTCCGGTTAAGCATGTCGTAGACACGACCAGGAGTTCCTACTACAATATGCGGTGCTTCAGCCTGCAGTTTTTGAACCTCATTGCGCACATTGGTTCCACCAATACAGGCATGGCATGTCGCACCCATGTAGTCTCCAAGAGCCAGAATCACTTTCTGGATCTATAAAGAAAAAAAAAAAAAACATGTATATATCCACATTTATTTATATGAAAAACCATATGCGTGTACGTTGATTGCTTAGTTTTTGTGACCATTAATTCTATTATTTACTGCCAATGGACTTAAAACAAAATAAAAGCACATATAAATGTAAGCCTTACTTCAAACAACATCAGACTACTAAGAAATTGTTACACTAAAGCATAGCAGCCTACAACAGGGTGCGAATTACAGAGTTTGACCCCCCTAATTAATGCTTGATCCCCTCCTGATGGATGTCAAAACACGATGTGTGGGAGGTCAGTCCTTTAATATTGAGAAATATTTTACTCTAATATGCATTTTTAAATAATAATGTTAGTAAATGAAATAAAAGATAATTTAAATATACATTTGACCACCCCTAAAACCATTGTGAAAGCATAATCGGGCCAATCAATCTATTCTAGGAAAAAGTCTGAAATTGGAAGATCTAGAGCACTAATAGATGGAGTTCACAAGATTTTGTTTTCTTGTGAAGTAGTTGTTGGTATCTACATTTAGCCTGAAAGTAAAGTCAAATTGGATGCATAATAACGTTTGTAGTCTGAGCTACAGTAACATCTGAAATAGCAAATCAGAAATTACTGTAGGTCAGAATACACAAAATATCCCTTAAAACGCTGAAAACTTAATATGTTTTATTAATAAACCATATGTTATTATAAATGACTGAAGCATGCATTACACAAACTAAGCCAAAAACGTAGACCCCCCCTCCCCGATCATCAGTGTATAATTTGCACACTGGCCTACAAGAATGATTTAACATTTAGAGGAAGTAAACTATAGTTTGCAACATAGAACAAAATGAAAATATGCTGTCTCTTCACTGAGCAAAACACAGGTCTCGTCTTAACAGAGCTTGACATGAGATCGTAGGCTTGATGATTGCATTTTTATTTAGAATAGATGTGTACTGCAAAACAGGCTATTCACAGCCACTAAAATAGTGAAATAAAATGATTCCTTTGTCAAAAAAAGCATGCCATTTGGAAACAACCAAAACACTAGTCCATACTGTTTTTTTCAGGTTTCACAATTTGATGTTATCAGAGGCAAGTACAATAAACTCCATGCATGATCACTTCCACATTTGATCTCAGCCCGCAGAAAAGCATTTGGCGCAGCATCAGAAGCCATTTTCCCTATTGGTGTTAACTGTACGAGGATGCCACAGGACAGGATGATTTTTTAACACTCAGTTTACAAGAGCTTGCCTGGATTACCGTGAACGACATTAATCCAATGCGAGACAGACAGCAAATAGTAAAGAAGAGAAGGGCTTCAAATTATACATCAAGTTAAATTAATAATTATGAGGTCGACTATTCTTATGCCATATATGAACTTCCATTCCAACGCTGTTTGTCACAGTTCATACCCGTGTTTGTAATACAATACATAATACTAACCAATCAAATCTGTCAAACTGGCATTTTAAAAGGGTTTTTCTCTTAGTTCACGTCGCTGCAGAACACGCTATGTGGAAGCAAACGTGTTGAGATTCTACCAGAAACACGTCAGTAGTGTTCAGCCGTAGGGTCTATAGTAGGGCTGCACAATACATCATTTCAGCATCAATATCAGAATGTGCGAACGTGCAATAGTCAGATCGCAGGATCTCAAAAGATTTCAATTGAGATTTAATTACTTGGGTTTATATATTTATACAGTGAAGACACTGTTATTTTACATTTGATTAATGAATTTCTATATCTCAATACTGTTAGACTCCACTGATGACCATAAAGCAGGGGTATCTAAGCTTGGTCATGGAGGGCCGGTGTCCTGCAAAGTTTACTTCCAAACCCAATCAGACACACCTGGGCTACCTAATCAAGCTCTTACTAGGCTTTCTAGAAATATCCTTGGAGGTGTGTTGAGGCAAGTTGGAACTTAAACCTGCAGGGAACCGCCCCTCCAGGACGGAGTTTGGACACCCTTACCATAAAGCGTTGTTTATTTCATTTTTATCTTTGTTCTATTGTCTTTAAAATATTATTCTGTGTTTTGTATAATTTTTTGGATTTTGTGCAGATGGACTTCACTACAAAATCATTTGTAGTTTTTTCAAAGTGATTATCTTGTGATATTATATTCATATCACAGAAAAACTAAATATTGCAATGTCAGTTTTTCCAATATCATGCAGCCCTAATCTACTGCATTATTATTTATATTATTTTTCAATACATTTGAAAAGTTATTCTTGAAATCTTAGTGTATTAGCATTTTGCTTGGGTAACTTAGGGACAGGTCAGGATCGGAACTCTTCCCTACCTCTAAAGTGGGGAATGGCTAAAAATGAAGAAACACTGATCTACCTATACTCTTTTGCAACTGAAAACAGAAAATAAATGTCTAATTACCAACTTTAGTTAGATACATGCTTAGAAAAACATGACAATATGTGAAATTGCTTTATAAAATGGACATTCATTAACAGCAAATGATCACACTGACAAATAAAAATAGTACTTGTAATAAAAAGGCACTGACCTGCTGAGCCAGTTCACGGGTGGGCGCCAGGACCAAAGCTTGAGTGCCCTTCAGCTCTATGTCAATCTGCTGCAGGATGGAGATGGCAAAAGTGGCAGTCTTGCCTGTGCCCGACTGGGCCTGAGCAATGACATCATATCCTACAACAGGGAAAGAGATGTACATGCATTATTGATGAAACAGAATGAATGGTTTTCAAGCTTCAAAAGATCAGCCATGGCAGCTACAACTCACATGGAAACGTCCCCCCCTTTTTTTTTTAGGACAAACATTAAAAGTGTCTTACCCTTGATGCAAGGGAGGATAGCCCTTTGCTGGATGGCAGAGGGCTTCTCAAAACCATAAGCATAGATTCCCCTGAGCAGAGTCTCACGCAGGTTCATGTCATCAAAGCTGTCCACGATCTCATCCCAGTTACTCTGCAGTCACAGGGAAGAAAATAATTACATGTTAATTAAGAAAAGACCAAGTTCATCTTCATGCAGTCTCACTCTGAGAAAAAAAAAATGATTAGCTATTTGTCACTCTGCATAGCGCATAAAAGAAAACAGGTTGGCAGTTGTGCAGAAAAGGAATTGCTGACCCCCACAGTGAGGACAAGACTGTCAAAACAACTGACAGCACTTTCAGTTCAGTGCCAACCTGTTTATTACAGCTGCACCAAGAGTGACATACATTATATAATATACATTTCTTTTTTTTCCACTAACCTCAATGACTCCATCTGGCTCCATGCCCTCGGGGCCATTGTCTCTGGGTCTGGAAAGAAATGTCACACATCAACACCTCATAATAACGTATACTATACTTGGGCAATAATGTTTACTGTTTTATATATAAACAAGTCGCATTTTACAAACACAGCCGTATTCTGGTATTCATCTATCATTAATTACACTTGTCAATGCAGATAACCTTCCACGTAGTCTTAATGAAAATGTATTTAGATTGAATGTGTGAGAATGCGTGTTTAGGGAAATCAGGCTTTGCTAGGGGCCATATGTAGAGGGTAATGTGTCGAGCAGCCTGTCATCTATGAACACTAATTTAGGTTGCGATATAATTATTAAATTCATCAGATTGACGTAACACCCATCGTTGGCGGTCTAAATCGTAGTTTTGAGCCGTTGAAAAGTATATATCGTCCAACGTCAACGTCCTCAAGCAGGCCAGGGTTGCTAAGAGCTCATATGCTAAAAACGGTGGGCATTTTACTACTCGTTTACGACATTCAAGACCACGAAGCACGAGCCACGGCCAACAAAATCTAGAAGCGGAACGTCTGTAGCGACTGACAACATGTACGCATGCGACCTGTGGTGTTTAAATAAATACATAAAGATCGATGAGTTTCCGCGGCCCTACCTCCCTTCATAATCTGCCGACATTATCACAAAGGGCGAGCACACCGCGAAAATGTTTTATATAGTTTAACACGGGCTTCTTGGTCAAATTGTGATTGCTGCATTCGGCCATCAGTCAGAATATGTCCCGCCCTCCGCGTATTCTGATTGGACAGTGCAGACGTCAGTCAGTAGTAGTAACCGCCTTTAGGTGTTGGATAACGTTAAATGGGGCGGAACTTGACGTGTTATTCCTGCCCTTGCTGAAATGTAATTGGACTAAAGCTAACCTCAAAATATCATTTGCTTGGCCTACGGTCACGTAGAAAGCGTCCATTATATCCAGGTATGGCAATGCAGTGTAATCTTACCCAGAAACACTTTAAATAATAGTCTCTTGATGGGGAAGTGTTATTATATTACAAACTACCATTATATTTTAAACTATATATGATTATTTTTAATTGTAAGAGAACTTAACCCATTTCCCTGCTGAAAAATCCAGCTTAAACCAGCTTAGGCTGGTTTAAGCTGGATTTTTCAGCAGGGTTACCTTAGTATTTTGTAGTAAAAACGTCTAGATAATTAGCATACATTTAGTTACCTTTCCAAACAACCGTAGGTGAGCTTGTACTTAGCTGCTGTATTCATTTTGATTGATTGATTTTATTTGACAATTTTACCAAAAATATACAAACAAGTGCAGTTAGACTAATTCATACATATTTAAAAAACTGTCGTGGATAAAATACACAAAAAAGCCACAGGACGAGCAAATTATAAATGACATGAAATAAATTTTGATGTCAACAACTGCTCTAAACAGCCTTAAATATCCTAATTAAACCAAGCAATTCCTAAAACACAAAAATTGTACACATGGATGACACTTATTGTCTTCATGTTTTTTATTAGTACAGCTTACAACAACGTATGCATCTCAAAAGATATAAAACGGTTTAATTTACAGCTGCACTTTTTTTTTCTCCATACTTTTGCATCTTAAATCGCACAGGTACATAACGACAGACAAACAATATTGAACAAACAAAAATAATATAGTGTCGTGGTCCATATTGACTCAGTATGTGTATAGCGCAATACATTTTTAAAATGTCTGCAAGTCTCCTTTCACCACTCAATGGAATTACTGTTTTAGCATACAAGTTACTGACATCAAGAACATGAAAAAAGTAATTGCCAACAAAATGGCGGCACCTAATGAACAGTTCACTGAGGTTGATCTCCCTCTCATTTCTAGAAACCAGCTTACTTTCTTTTCTTTTTTTTTAAATCTGAGCAAACAAACAACTGGGCTGAACAGAGGATGGCATTCACCAAGTCAAAATACAAAGTCATTGAAAGAAAAGAGGGATAAAAACGTTTGCACGTCCCACGCTGTCTGGACTTGGAGCTTATTTAGACGTGAAAGATGTCAAAGATCTCTCTTGCTCTTCTACGGTCTCACAGAGACAGTTTACAGTGACACAGTTCTTTGTACATTTGTCTCCGTAGCTTGGGCATATCCTGTTGGCCGAAGCTGAAAGGCTGTTCCAGGGCCAGGCACTTACAGTACTGAAGGACAGCAATCAGAAGAGTGAACATGTGAGTAAAACACACTAGAGAAGGTTGTTATTATATACTTATTACATACTTACAGCACCAGTTCTATATGGGTCAGGGGTTTTCAATCGTTAAACAAACAGGATAGCTTTAATATTTTTTAATTAAGACACTTGAATTGTATATAAAATAGCTTGTGAAAATTTAATTCAATGCAGACAGCAATTATTTACAAAATCAATCATTCATTAAGACGACAAGATACAGAAACGCAGAAACAGAGCTGACTAATGAGGTAAAAAAAAGTGCAAACCTGAAGGACAAAAGCTCCACAATCACTGTCATTGTTCTGCCTTGCCACATTCTAGAAGATTCCAAAACACACAATAGTCAACAGCAACATACACAAACAGCTTTTCCTTTCTCTTTTACCTCACGTTTCCCTAATATATTCAGTAACACACACACACACACACACACACACAAATTCACCTTTCACCCTACCATTTTAAAAAAGCCTTTCCACCCTGTGTAAAAGTCCTTCTGTTCTCTCTTGATTGCCTCTGCTTGCAGGTATTTGGCAATATGCTGTAAAATAAAACACAAAAATACAGCTTATCAGCGCTGGGTCATGCTAAGCACAGATGCAGAGAATACAGCTAGTAAAATATCATTACAAATGATGCCTACTTTGGGACATCGGCGGTTTAGGGTCCTCTGGGAATCGAAGTATGTGACGCTACGCTGAGGAACATTCACACACACTAATGACCAGTGCACTTCCAGGTGAATAGGGATCAATAAGAACTTCTTCTGGAAAATATCAACCTACAGGGAGATTTTGAAGTGAAATAAACAAATGTACTACAGTAATTATGTTGTATACATATTATTCCTAGAGTAAGCCTTTCCCAGTTCATTTGCACTATAAACCAGTGTGTTCATGAAGGGGATATAAATTAAAAATAATAGTACATCAAGTGGCTTAATGTTGTTTTGTTCTGCTCATTTGTCTCCTCACATTTAAGTTTCACATTCCTAGACAGTTCCTACATTAAAAATGAGTTGGACACTTACATTATGGTAAATAGTTTATAATGCAGGAATTAACTCTGCAAAGAAGTATTGTTGCCAAATTATTGCTTAACAGTTAATCTGCTTAACCTAAAAGACCTAAAAATCTTGAAAGATCTAAAACCAAATTCCCAGTACTGACATTTTTTGTCCACCGTTTGACACCTTCGTATCCTTTTGTCCGAAGTTTGTCATAAAAGAAGCTGTTAAAAAAGTGGACCTGTAAATCAAAAAGTAAAAAGACAAAGGGAGAGAGAGAGAGACTGTTATATTAGTCCCTTGTTGGGCATACAATATCATATAATGCCATTGACATGCTTGACAGAGTAAAGGTGTGTGTGTGTGTGTGTCTGTGCATGTTTTGCCTACTTTTTCAGGGGCAGCATCCATGACCAAATCCCCATACATGTTCATGACCTGGGTGACGCAGAGAGTTACAGATGTAAGAGAGTGCAAGCTCAGCACAATCCCAATACTAGGGCCTCCCATTCATCAAATAAAAGAGTCATAACTGTGAATATCTTCTCTATACAGTGCAGACAAACAGATGTTAAAGACTGTGCCATCATAAAATGATTGTGAAAGTATTATTATAAAATTAATATACTACAAAGAAAGAGACATGTTAAAACAAAAATATTGGGTCAGATTCAATAATAACAACTAGTAATCCTAAATGTGAGGTTTTACATTTTTGTAGGTGAGTGCACACATATTAATTTAATGTAATATAGAGGAATCCATAATTAAACCGGCAAAAAAAAACCAGAAAGTGACAGTAAAGTGATTTGTAATGTTACATATAATATCTTTTCAAAATAAATGTTGACATTTTGAACATTCAATTTATTTTCAATGTATTTTCCACTGTTTTTAAGAATAAATGTTTCTTAAACACCAAGTCAGCTGCAATAGTGATGCAATATGTTAACAATTTCTCTGATATCTATATAGTAGGTCTGTGGATTCAGAAATTTTCATCTTTCCCATATTTAGCATTCTGAGCAAGCTTTGATGAGATCTCCATGCACAAACATTACCCAGAGTTCATGTCCTGCTGGTTCCATTTTCAAAATAAGAGTCCTACACACATAGCAGGTATAATGCAAGCTTAGATCAACTCAAAAATAAGGGGAAAATATCATTGTAATCTCACCAAAAATCATTGTGGCCAATCAAAAGCAGCCTGGGTGTGCATATTAATGATCCCATGTGCATTATAACAATTTTGTTCTGGTATGTTACACTCAGGATTTACTTGAGAACAAGGCTGACAGTATATCATTCCTTTTTATACTGAACTTGTGTTATTCAGCTATGCCTGGCTAAGATAGCCCAAATTTTCATTCTATGGCAACTTTAATAGTATCCAAGTAAAGAAAACCAATTTATAGACCCTATTCACAAGACTGTTGATGTGTTTAACAGTCATCAGCATTTTAACTCCTTGAAAGTTTTTAATATTTAAATTTAAAAAAACATGAACATTTATGTGTATTCATATATGTATTATATCATCTTTGCATCAAAATACAAAAAAAAAAATTAAATTACCGCTTGTGTGTGGCGCTTGAAATGCAGAGTGTATGGCCGGAGAGTAAATTTTAAATTATTCTCTCTTTTGGCTCACACTATTTTTTTCCCCTTTTCTGAAAGTCTTGATAACACTATTGAGGCGTTTTTCATTTATTATTTCAGCAAATAAGATAGTAAAAATGTATTTGTTGTACTCTCCCATTCACTGCGCTCAAAGTTTACCAAACTATGACGTCTTCTGCTGATGAGAAACCGGGAAATGTGAAAAGGGTCCATTGATCAATCACATATTCATACACAAATTCAAGTGTATACATGGTTAGCTAATGCGACCCAATGTTAATGTGTATTAATAAGTGCCCACCTGATCATTGAGCCAATTCTGGCCATAAAGTGTTGTCAGATCATCCATGACAAGTACATGACGCTTGTAATTTACACGAAACCCCCGCATCATTGCACTTCCAGACATCCGCTGGTAGGACTGCATTAAATGTTGCACCATTATCTTCCTGTAAACCAACAGAAATAAAAACAGACTCTTTGTAGTCAAGGCTTTATCTAGTTTGGCATTTTAAAAATTATAATTCCGTAAGCTGGTATGAGCCATGTGTCTGACCTGTGAGGACTTGAGAAGCTCTCAGTAAAAATCTCTTGAAGCTTCTCCACCACCTCATCCACATGAATGGGAATCAAACTGCCATACTGTTGGAGAAATTCATCCAGAATACCTGAGGAAGAGGAGGAGTGAGAAAGGAGCAACCCTTGGATGTGTGTTACTCTTTCATATTTTTGGAGAGATGATAAATTCTACCTTGTACACAAGAAATGTGTTCACTGCTGAGTTGATTCTGTAAGGAGGCCTTTTCCCGTTGAGATTG